TGAAGGCACTGGTGAAAAACAAGTCTCCAGGAACTAATGGATTCTAATTGAGATGTTTCAAAGAGGCAGATTTGAAATGTTCACTCATCAATGCCAAGAAATTTGACATACAAAATAAATAAATAAATAAATAACATATAAGACAAAGCAACCAGAATTGAAATATTGATATTGTTCATCAAGAATGTAACCAATGCCAATGAACAATTTGTGTAGAAAACTTTTGGGTGTAGCTTCCAGCCTCCTCCACCTCCCAAGGGAAAAAAAAAAAAATTGGAAGACAGCTAACTGGCCAATCAACTGGAAGAGATCCATATGGTGCCTGTTCCGAAGAAAGGCACTCTTACAGAATGCAGAAATTATAAGACAATGTCATTAATGTCAAACATAAGTAATATTTTGCTGATGATAATTCAAAAATGATTGCAAAACAATGGCTCAAGTATAGCAAAGATTGTAAGGATGGCACACAACTGGGCAGTGTTTTGTTCTATTGTACATAGAGTTGCTATGAGTTAGAGCCAACTCAATGGTACCTAACAACAACAAATGCCAAAAGGCAATAGAAAGTATTTACAAACTATTTAGTAAAAGATAGTGTAAACCAATAATTTTTTTTTGCCTAAGTAAGTGGTCTGACAAATATAAGATCCATGGAAAGATATTCTAGTGCATCTCGAATCTCAGGTGTTAACAAGTTTTAAATCTTAAAAGAATGACTTCAAGAAGACACATAGTCAACCTGGATATTAATCAAAATAAGTAAATCAAGAATCTAAACATCCTGTTAAAGAGGATTGATTTAGTAAATGTATTTAAATATGTTTCTTTTCCCTAGTTCCCCTTAAAATGACAGTAAAGACTTTCTGGTTTCGGTTTTCAAGACATGAATTCACAGGGCAATAATGGGAGAGGCAATGACAACAGCATTATAGAAGCAGGAGGCAGGTATGTGAGGGCTAACTGACCTAACAGACCCAACAGACCCAGGAAACCTAAACCCTCAGGAAGTGGAGAAAGTAAGTATGTATGTTATTTTACACCAAAGACCACAAAAGAGTCCAGGTATCTCTGGAAGTAGGAGTGGATGTGGGATTAAAACCAGGAATATTGGTCGAACTGGGTATATCCAGTGTCTTCTCCAACTACTAAGCTTTTAGATCAAGGAAGCCAAAATACAGTGAGGACAGGTGTACCATACTAAAAATTTATATGCTGATCTTTTCCCCAAACTTAACTCCAGAAAGCTAACAGCCAGGGTTATATCCACACCAAACAAAGAAATATTTTTTTCCCATCTGGAAATCCTGACCAATCCAAGAGAAATACCTAAAAAAACTCATAATTTGGTAAATCCTTAACAGGGACCCCCATCATAGGAGAATTTCAAGTCAGCTGGTTGATCTCCAATCTTAAATAATAGCAGACACCCAGTGGTGGAGTGCCTAAGGCATTTGACTGCTAACCTGAAGGCTGGCAGTTCAAACCCACCAGCTCCTCAGAAGGAAGACTGGGCAATCTACTTCCGTAGAGATACTGCCTTGGAAACCCAAGGAGGGGTCACTATGAGTCTCAATTGACTCGATGGCAGTTAGTCTGCAGGTTTTTAAAGATATAAGAATCAACATATATTTGAGAAAATTATGTAAATGAAATGCTGAAGCCAAAGTTAGCTAAGAAAAATCACGTTCAAGGAAGAAAAGAGCATTTAGACAAATAAAAGCAAATAAACAATATAATAATATTCAGAAAAGATATTTTGTAAGAAATAAGATCATAATGTTATATAAAGGAACATTTAGATAGTAAAAAGCAGTCTTAGAAATTAAAAATATAGTAGTATACATAAATATTTCAATAGAAAGGTCACAAAATAAATCACCAAGAAAAATTAAAGGTTGGAAAACAGAAAATAAAAATATAAAAAAAAACTTAGAGGATACATTCAGGAGACCTATATTCAAATAATAGGAGCTCTAGAAAGAGAGCACCCCAAACCAAACCAAATCCATTGCTTTAGAGTCAATTCTGATTCATAGCCACCCTATAGTACAGAACAGAACTGCCCATAACGTTTCCAAGGCTGTAAATCTTTATGGAAGCATACTACATATCTTTCTTCCACATACGTTTTGGTGGGTTCAAAACACTGACCCTTCTAGTTTTTAACCACTTGCACCACCAGGACACCTTAGAAGGAGAATATGGAGGATAGGAAATAATCAGAATAATCTAAGAAAACTCCCAGGACCAGAAGTATCTGAATTTCCAGATTTAAATGATCCACTAAATGCCCGATCTAGGGTAAGCCACATTAACATGAAATTTCAAAATGTCCTAGGGACAAAGAGAAAAATCTAACAAGCTTTCAGAAGGTGAGAGGTTCCATAACTTATTATCATCCTGTCAATTCTGACTCATGTCGACCCAAAGGAAGAGAACTGCCCCATAGGGTTTCCAAGGCTGTACATTTTTATGGAGGCAGACTGCCTCATCTTTCTCCCTTACAGCAGCTGGTAGGTTTGACTTTAACCACAAAGCCACCAGAGACCCTTGGTGGGAAGTTGGGGGTAGGAAAAGAAGTTCACTCAAAAAGTATAGAATCATGTTACCAGACATCCTGACAGAAAAACTTTGAAAGCAAGAAAACAATAGATTACTGACTTGAAAATTCTCAGGGAAATTATTTCCAACCTAGAATTGTATGTTATTTAAGGTTAAAATTAGAATTAAGACATTTTCAGACATGTGAGTTTTCAAAAATATTTCTCATGACACTACCAGAGATTTCCTGCAATATATATTCCTCCATAACTGAGTGAATACAGTTAGAAAAAGTAACATAATCCAGGTATTAAGGGATTAATCTCAATAGAGAGGTGAAGGGTATCTCTAAGATGTTGCTGAAAAGAAATCTCAAAATGATATATGTGTAGAAACGGTGTGAATGACTGCAGAATCTTCATCTTCTACACTAGTAAATGAATGTTGTTGTTGTTATGTGCTGTCGAGTCGGACCGACTCATAGCGACCCTTCCTTGTGTTTCAGAGGCAGTATCACTAGGGAAGTAGATTGCCCAACTTTCCTTTTGAGGAGTGGCTGGTGGATTTGAACCGCCAGCTTTCTTGTTGGCGGTCAAGTGCCTTAGGACTACACTGCCAGAGCTCCTAATAAATGAATGTTGTTGTTGTTGTTGTTGTTATGTGCCGTGGAGTCAAACCCGACTCATAGCGAGCCCTCCTTGGGTTTCCGAGGCAGTATCACTACTGAAGTAGGATTGCCCAACCTTCCTTCGGAGGAGTGGCTGGTGGGTTTGAACCGCCAGCCGTCTGGTTAGCAGGCAAGTGTCTTAGCCACTATGCTACCAGAGCTCCCAATAAATGAATAGTTACTGCCAATAACTGAAAAGTTAGGAAATAGCAATATTAAGATTCCACTTAAAGAATTGAAAGTGGCTGCCTATGAAAAATGGGAAGTAGTGGTAGTGGAGGAGGGTCTGCATTTTTAATGAAAAGCTTTGGTTAACTATTTGACTCTAAATTATGAGTATATATAGCTTTGAAGAAGAAAATACTCTCAGCCGTGACATAGCCACGGAAAAGAATTGATGGTGATCATGTGCACCATTTAATTATATATTCAAAACTAAAAAACTTTAGCATATGGTTATAAACCAGAATGAAATGTTATAAACATTGATGATACGAAAAAAAGAGTAATAGTACTAACAAAACACTGGAAGGTGTGGGTAAAAGATGAAAAGTATAAGTATGCTGATTTTCTTGACTTTCATAGCAGGATTTAATTTAGATAATGCCTGAAGGTAAAACACATAGTTGATTTATTTTTTTTCAAATGGCTGCAAATTCCCTCATTCATTTAAAAGTCTTTTTTCTTTCTTTATATTAAGAGGATATTTTTGTATCTATCCCTTTGTTATGGAAAAATAATTCATTGAAGCTCAATATTCTTCACTTTCTCTTCTTCACATAAAATAATTGTATTATTTTAATCCTAAAATAACATGTATAATATCATCTTGGTAGAATTATTTTTTCTGCCTATTTATCATTCATTCATGATTTTATACCTGTATCCAATCCTTTACCTGTGCATATTAAAAAAGATGCCTGCAACAGTGTTTGGCAAATATTAGCAATGCATATTTCTGTGATCTGGCATTTTTAATTTCTTCCTTCTTTCCTTCCTTCCTCCCTTCCATCTTTCACTCCTTTTTTTCCCTCTTTTAGGATTTCTTTATAAAGCTTTTATTTCAATGAGCATTATCAATTTTATAGAGGGAATAAATTAATTATTCTTTAAGAAGAGAATAAATTATAATAAATGGATATCATTTTAAAGGAAGAAAAATTATTACTTGCCATTTTTAATAAAAATAGAAATACAGTTTATAACAAGCTAAAATAAATAAAAATGTATTATTTACCAACCTACTGCCAGAAAATAAACCAGAAGACCAATAGTTATTCCTAGAATTGCCAACAATCCAAACACAATGAGAGCAATCATCCACAATGGCAAAGATGAACGGGAAGATGTGACTGATCTGCAAGTAAAGGATATGAATATGAAAAGTATAGTCATTAAAAAGCTATACTTCTTTCTTCTTGGTCACCCCTAAAATTTAACAACAGAAGAGGTGTCCTGGTGGCACAGTGGTTAAGTACTAGGCTGCTAATCAAAAAAGTTAGCTGTTAAAACCCGCCAGCTGCTTTGCAGGAGAAAGAAATGACACTCTGTTTCCATAAAGAGTTACAGCCTTGAAAATTCTATGGGGTGATTCTATTGTGTCTTTTAGGGTCATTATGGTCAGAATCAACTCAGTGGCAATGAGATTTATTTGTTTGTTTCAGTAGAAAAAAAAATATTTGAAGTAAAAAATTGTGCTTCCTTTAAAGTTTTCCATTGAACCTCTCTAAATCTGTAGTATGAAATTATTTTTTTAGGAGTATGATGGTTGGTGCCAAGTTATCTGTATTTAGCATATGGTTCCCGCTCATGACCAAAGAGTATGAACAGAGCTACAAAAAGTGAAAACTTTACCTAGTGGAGAGCAGCACATCTAGTTTGCTCCCATGGTTAATGCGTAGGAACAGAATGACAATATGTGAAGACCTTGTATAGTAGGGGCAGGGAGGACATGGGCATGACCTAGAAGCTCTTTATGCCTAAGCCTATCATATTTTTTAACAGTATGGTTATGAACCAGAAGAACTAGATGGTGCCCAACTACCAATGCCAATAGCTTGGAAAGGGATCAAAACTAGAGATCCTGGATAGAGTGAGAGGGAAAATGTGTAACAAAATTCAGAAATACAAAAATGACCAGCAGCACTGGTCAGATAGAGTCTGGTGGTACCCCCAAGACTATGGTCCTGGCTTACCCCTCAGGCCTAGAATTGGACTCACTCCCATGGATTGGCTCTTAGCCCAACAGAAGAAAGACCTGTATGCAGAACATGTACCCCAGAGTGATGCACTCACCTACTCTAGGGAGATACTCCCCTTAGAGCAATCGGCCATGGGGCACCAGAGGGCAGAATTCACATAGAGGGAAAGCTGGACAGACAGGAGTGCATAGTTAGAAAGGCACGGGGAGGGAGTGGTCATAGGGACGGGAGGGGAGAAGAGTTTGTTATGGTTGGGGATGGTAATCAGGGTGTGAAATCAAATGTACACTAACTGTCAAATGTAAAACAAATTTGCACCCAAAGCATAATAAAATTTTTTAAAAAGAGAGTGTGATAATGATTCTATAATATTTATTATGTACCTATTATATACAAGGAACACACACAAATATGAATTGCTAAATTAGTTAAAAATAATGCCCATGTAGCCTACTAGCTAACTGCTCAAACAAGGAAAAATGAGGAGGACCTTAAATTATTAGCCTTTGCTTCTTAACTGTCAAATGCAAAATATTGTTCATCTTTCAATGATGGGATAACACTTAGCTCATCTCATGAGCATTAAGCTCCACCAAAACTACTTTGTTTCATTCTAACCTCTTTATTCCATACCCTTTCTTTATTTTTTTTTTTTGTCTCCCATGACCTTTGGCTAATAATTTTTTTTTCTAGTAGTCCCTTAATTGAAGATGCATTTAAACATTTCTTGTTTTGACGAGTTTTACTTTGAAAGCTTTAACTCAGAACAAGAATTCATATAGAATTTAGCCAAATTTATCTTTTTTTTTTTTTTTTAAGAATTAGTATGCTTATAAGAAGGACAAGGAGTCTAACTAAATCTGTTAAACTTCATCAAATAAGATGTCTTAGAATTCATCCATGAACCATGCTTTCAAAGTAGGAAAGTGGAATGCCTTTCCAGTTTTCATTGTCCTTCATAGATAACACTATAGAATTTTATATCTCCCTTCCCTATTCCCATATTGATTATTTTGTGTCACAGTCTTAGATGATTCTCTGAGTTGTAACCACCTTCAAGTCATAATCTAAAGTCCTTACAAGCTGTGACATGAATCAAGTAGCTGCTTAAGAATGACAAAAATAATTCCTGGGCAGAAAATCACTCAGCTATTTGCCAATATTTTTGGTAGTTCATAATAAAACTGAAAAAAAAAAAAATCTGTAGGGAATGTGATACAGAATAGCAATAATACCTTGCCATAAAGATATTAGTGGAGATGACTTTCACAACACTATCTTGGCAAAGGCCCAACATATCTTCTTTCGAAATTTTTCCCATTCTATCCCATAGGACTGGAGCTCTGGTAGCATAGTGGCTAAGGCACTTGACTGCTAACCAGGAGGCTAGCAGTTCAAACCCACCAGCCACTCCTCGGGTGGAAGATAGGGCAATCTACTTCCATAGTGATACTGCCTCGGAAACCCAAGGAGGGGTCACTATGAGTTGGGCCTGACTCGACGGCACATAACAACAACAACAACAACATCCTATAGGACTAACCCTAAGGAAAAAAAAAATTAAACTGATAAAATTTGACTTTAAAGTCTTCCACTTCTGGTGTTCCTCTCCCTTCTTTTAACCATCTGTCATTCAGGCACTCACATGCAACCCCATGGTTCCACAAAGGCTCCTCAAAGGTGCCTGGAGAACTCATGTTTCCAAATCCTTCCCTGCTCTGCCATTTGATGAGTGCCTCACACTGAGAAGCTAATTACTAAATTAGAGCTTGAAACTTCCTGAGGAAACTAGAGTTCTCAGAAACAATGGCTTAATCCTTTGAAATCTTTTAAGTTAAGACTTCACACAGGTGTCAAAATGATGAAGCAGAAGTAGAAATTTCCTATATTAAATATATATACATATATATCATTTGCCTAACATAAGGTAATTACTATTTCATAAGCAAAACAAGCACAATAAAACAATCATACTTTTTTCTTCTCCATTTTTAAATGTGTGTGTTCACTCTTACTGATAGAAATACAGCTAATAAGAAAACGTCAGGGTTATGTAGAATATAACATTTTTAATAAAAAGGAAATCATATGATAATAAATTAATTACTTGAATTCAAGGTCAATGTTATTAGCAGATTCTATCTCAGTGAATGTGTCCTTTATAATCACATTTTTACATGAGTACTGATATAGTGAATTAGTACTCACTATATATACATATATGTATACACACACACACACACACACACATATGGTCTTAAAGGGCTCAGCTATGAATTGAGGTGTACCTCTTAAAGAAATATTATGTAAGCTATATATTTATATTCCACATCTATTTATCTATTTAAACATTAAATATTATTGTAATTAGCTTTGGTTAATTTTGCTGTATTTTATGTATTTTGAGGAAAACTTGAGAATTAAAAAATATGCTTTACAACTTTTGATTTTTCACTATTTAGTACAATAATTATCAATTGAGATTATTTTAAAATAAATTGTAAGTGTCTATACAGAATTATACTATTCTGCTTCATGAATATTGCACAGATAGGATTATATGGTTTCACATATGGATATACAGAGAATACCTGGGAAGCAGTGGTACTGTGAGATTCAATTAATATTCATGGCAGCACTTTAGAAAGTATAAGATGATAAGCAAATACAAGGGAGTCATCATCATCAACAACAACACTAATAATTTAGCATTTGACTTATGAGACAAGCAAATTTTCTCTCTGCTACCTCCTGTCCACTTTACAGTAGTCACATATTTGTATTATTTTCAATCACAGGATGATAAATTGCACATCACCTTTGCAAAATAATCCCCAAATCATTACATAAAACTGTAGATCCCAGACATAAGCACATATTTGTTACAGGGTTGTCTCCATGCAGAAAACCCAAAATGCTGTAGATAAAGTACAAATTCTCCCTAAACTCAAATGTTTTACTGAACCCCTTGATTGAGAATCTTATGTGGAAGCAATACTAATTCTATTTATTTCAGAATTTTAGGCAAGCAAATTTCCACTTACCTATACATAATGTGCTGATACAATGGCTGTTGATGTTAGTAAAGATAAAGAAAATCTCTGCACTCCTTTTGTCCTGATCATTGGTTCTCAGGTAAATGTGCTAACCACAGTGACAGTTGGGATTTTAAGGGCTGGGTGCAATAGCAGAAAGCAATTAAAAAGAAACTTGTTTAACAAGTGTTGATGACAGCTCTGGGTCTGTGGTTTAAAGGAAGAACTGAAAATTCTCTTTGACATGGATATTTAGAAAAAACAATAGCCATAACTTGGATTGGTCTCCTGAGAGATCCACCCAGGAAGTACCACCACAGATGGGTGAATCAGCACTCTGACTCAGGGTCCATCCATCCTTTCAGGTCACAGAGCTCCTCCTCAGTGAAACCAACTGTATCTACCAAAGCAGTCTCTGACATATAAATGTAAGTTGTCTTTTTTGACACAATAGTTCTACTACAGCATTACTCATTGGAAGCATACTTAATCTAAAATTCTTCCTGGAACTCTATGCATACTTATGTAGGATTGAATTTATAAATGGAGGTAAGTTTTAGAGTAAGAAATTCCAGTTTTATTTTGGTAATTATTTTAGAGGAAATGAAACTATTTAAACTAGTGAAGGATAGTTTTACGAAGTGGACAATGAGTAAGTTTTTCAGTAAAACCCAAAATTCATGAAAGAAGAAAAATAAAGCCTTTAATATTTTGTCTACAAATATCTAGAGACTTGGCACCATGTTCCAAATATTTAACCATAGTATTTATTTGTTTACTTAAAAAATATTTATCATGCACTTCCTGGAGCTACACATTGCCAGGACTGGGAATATAAAAATGGATATTACAAAGTCTCTGACTTCATGGAATGTGCACTCTAATGAGAAAGACAGGTGACAGTAAGTACAGTATCCAATTTCATAGGAGATATTTATATATGTTGGAGCTCTGGTGGTGTAGTGCCTAAGGTATTTGACTGCTAACCAGAAGGCTGGTGGTTCAAACCCAACAGCCACTCCTCGGAAGGAAGATGGGGCAATCTACTTCCGTAGTGATACTGCCTCAGAAACCCAAGGAGAGG